TGGAAACACACATGCAACGAATATGGTTTTTACCATGAATTAGGCAGCAAGGGAAAAACCCAGTTACCTAAAAAATTTACGGGTAATAGGTAGAAAAAGTAGAACATCTATAGTTGCTCATCAAAATATGTGGTAGTTATGTCTTATCAACGGGAAATCAAGTCAAGTCGACTTCACATGGGTTTTTTGCCCTTCCCAGCCCTTTTTGAAGGAAATGGTCTGATTTAATCATTAAGAATAGTTTTGAACTTTCATTCTGAATCTCTCTTACTATTTCCTATCGCTTTCTTGTAAGTGCAAACTTGCCCATGAAAAGTTTAAGACATGATTGACCAAAATACAAGCCAATGGAATACATAGCATGCACTATTTCCAAGTGTATCNTCTTATTCCTGGTTCGTTATTACTTGTTATATCATTCGCTCCCATTACCATATTACATTACTACTGCTTTTGCTTGTTGCTTTATTTTTACTGTTCCTTAAGCCGAGGGTCTATCAGGATCAGCCTCTCTGCCTTTATAGGGTAAGGGGTAAGGCTGCATACACACTACCCTTTGCAGACCCCATGTATGGGATTAAGCTGGGTTTGTTGTTGTTGTTGTACACTATTTCCAAGTGTATCATAGCAATGTTTCATGGCAGCAGCAACCACATAAACCAATACGAAAGGATTTACCAACAGGACAACCCAAAAAGTCATTTAACTGTTTTATTCCATGAGAATATAGCATCTAACTACCTCAGCAAGGTTGACCCATTCCCATGTCTCATTTGCAGTACCCATGTCATAAACAAGAGCATGTCTACCCTGAAAATTTGCAAGAAGATTTCAGCATTCAACCGTGGGGAGAAAAAAGAGTAAATATTCCAATTAAAAAGGATCAGGCATACCTCAGCTGGATTATAATCAGTTATAACTGCTTCATAAAAATTATTGTCATCAGGCCATCTAGTCCTCACTTTCCTTCCAACCAATGGATCAGATGATGCTGCCTCAGCAGGTTCAGAAAACCGATTACCGAGTTGGGCTCTTCCTGAAGGACCAGGAGTAGGGTACTTCATTGAAGACGCACCAGGCATCATTTGGCCCTATGAAGTTATACATAGCAGGAAAATATCAGAACTATAGACTGATTTGTACCGCAACCTTTCAAGTTTTTTAGCAACATCTGACTTACAGATTTATGTTTTTTCCCCTTCGGCCCCGCAATAGGTCCTCTCTTGGCAGCGGATGAAAATGGCTGGTTTGCAGCAGTCACCACAGGTGGAAGAAAAGTAGGAGATGGTCCAGCAAAGGATTGAGAAGGTAAAGATGGGCCAATCTTCTGTTTCTTCCGTGAAGCTGAAATGGAGGGGCTGGGTATTGGATCATGAACAGATTGACCACCACCAAGCATACCAGATTGATGCCCACCAGATTGCCTCCACTCCCTAAAAGCAATAGAGTAACACAATTAGCCCCCAAAACTTTGACAAACTCCAAACTACAGAAAGACTCACCAAAAAAATTCAAGCGGGAGAAAGTGAGCCTCTAGCTAGAGAGCTAACCTTATTCTTCTGATGGCATCATCATTATTAACTCTAGCAAGAAGTTCTCTATGTTCTTCATTGGACAACCGTAACTCTTTTCTTAACTCGGTTATCAAACTTTCTTTCTCCTGAAGAAAATATATTAATCAAGTAGTCATTTAAACCTGATCAAACAAATACAAGTATTAGATTCACGAGTACAGTAATAACAGAATATACCCATGTAATGGCATCAGCTTGAGCTTTAAAGGCTCTCAGAACCGAGCTGTATGCTTCTTGCTCAAGTTGATGAATTTGGGCCTCCATATCTGTTTCTCCGTACATTCTCGGGTAGGGGACAGAACCAATGACAGCAGATCTTCCATTTCCAGTAATTCGACCACCACCTCTTGGAATCCTATTTTGATGTGATGGAGGAAGATCATCATCAGTTCCTGAATTAATATTGACAGTTTGTGAGATCTAGAACGTCAGCAACCCTATGCATTGTAAGAAAGTAAAAACACAAAACAAATTGTAAAACTTACCTATATTAGCACCATATTATCTATCTATACTATATTAAATGCACGAACACCCTTAGCAAAATGTGGTTCGTCTTTTTTATCCTTTTAAAATAGAGTTCACATTAGACTACATAGTCATTTGATTATTTTCCTAATAATTAGAAATAATCACTTAATTAATTCCCAACAATTTATGGGTAGTCACTAAATTATTCCCCTAATATTTAGAAATTTAATTTTTCAATTCCTTTCCATTCTAGAATTTCAAGCACTTTTATTTCATGCTAGGAAAGTATGTTCATTTTCAACTCCAATTATTATTTAGGAGTATTAAATCTTTCCTAAACATAGAAGGTAAGTTTCTTTTAACCACAAAGTTATATTTTTTAGTCAAATTAAAAAAGAACCTAATTGCCAATGAGCAAACAAATAAAAAAGAAAAAATATACACACGTACAACTACACAAACACGAAGGTTACGTAAGTAGAAGTTAATATAAATTCTTTCACCAAAAAAATTTTAAATTCATCCCAACTACATACCAACATTTTAGATATATATCAGATATCTAACGATAAATTTAAGTATAATCATATTTTATGTCTATAACTTTATGAAGCATATTAGGTAGTTTAAATGAATATAGGTTATTTTACTATGTTACAATCAACTAATTATTCAAAATCTTAGATGTACAAGCTTGTCAATCAATTTTCAAAGTTGTAATGTATTCGTTGCACATAATTTCTCACATGAACAACTATACGTTATACTATTAAGAGAGAGATTAACGTCAGATAACAAAAGTTAGATCATGATAAAACAACCAAAATGACAGAAAGGAATATAAACCAAATATTCATAAAGAAGTATTAGGTGAGATATGATCATGTAACGTGTTTGTACCTCATAAAATCAAAATTGATGTAATTCCATAATCTAACTAACAAATTTAATTGGCCAACTTTGCAATAGACGGTGTAAATCATTTGGATTTCAACTCCTGTTTCATAAGCAATTCTCTTTCCTGCGTACTTCCTCCGACAAAATCAAGGGCATTGGATACGAAAGTGCTGTTGTAAAGTTTCGTCGTTTATCTCGTTGTCCATAAATGCAGATAACTATTGTGTGTAGTCAAAAAGAAAAAAGATCAAACTAGAGGTGTGGTTAACTAATACTATCCATGACTATTAACTAAAAGAAATAAGAGCGATTATTAGCATTTGTAATGTATTATCATCATAAGACTGATCAGATCTGTCTATAAAGGATGCATTAGAACCTAGGTCTATTAAAAATACAAATAATGACGCATCTGAGGACTTTTGTGGGGCAAAGTTTCTTACCTTATAGAGTTAGATAAATGGGGTTGACATTTATAACCCCATTTATCATTTTTAGGAACAAAGATTTTTTTTCGCTGATTTTTATTTAATAAATGGACATATAGGATCAGTACTCATCATTTTCATGAACTTATAGTTTTAAATTTTTTTTAAATCAAACACAATTTATATATTTATGAAATTCTCTGAGAAAAATTATACTCATCGAGACAGGAACATGTGCAATGCGCGTATCCTAAGGCTAGTTAATAAAGACACCTAAACCTAATGAAAACACCTAGCATTAACCAACTGTCACCTCCTCCGACAGGGACTAATGACGGGCATGGATTCGAACAACTACATAAAACAAGAAGGATCCTCACCCTACTGCTCTTGATATGCAAAACAAGGATCACATTCTGCCAATATACATTGAAACTAAGACTAAGCTGCATTGAGAGTACCAACAATAACATCCATAAAACAATCTTAAGCTAGTTACGCAGGCTATATGAGTTCGATTTCGCACCATTTATAACCGTTTCAATAATAAATAATATGGGATTATCTAGCACTTGAGGTTCTTTACATTTTCTATTGACATACAAATCTCTAAAAGGATGAAAACCTAATATAAGCATACCAACATATCTAAGCTTAAAGCCAAACTAGTCGGTATCGCCTACATGGACCTTTTGCTTCCATAAAGTTTATTATTTTCTTACTGCCAAGTTTGCATCATTTCTGAGAGATCCTATGTCTTTTGAAGCAATTTCCTCCCATGTGATTTTAAGTTTGCCTTAACGATCACGACTCTTCAAGTTCAGTACACATCCATAGTATAAATTCAGCTAACAAATATGGTTCACATTTTTCTATAACCTAACAAGATAAATGTTTTAATTCTTTTTAAATGAAATATATTAAGTTATGTGTTTTAACTTTGAGCCCATTATTTCGTTAAACACATTAATTCTTGCAAGAAATCAATTTAAACTTCTCAAAAGACAATAACCAAGGAAGGGGACACATACAGGAAAGCAAATAACACCAACCAGAAAGCATTAGTTAAACTGACGAACACATCTCAAAGAAAAAGAATTCCTTAAAATACGCCGGATACAGATTTTAATACAATTTCTCAAAATTTCCAAGTCCCAAAAACCTAGTCACGATAATACGAGACAAAACAATCGGAAAGTTTCGTCTAAATAACAATGTACGTGCTAATTCCACTAACCCCAAACCACACTATAAAACCCTATTTGAATGAAAACAAAAACAAAGATCAAATTTTTTTGTCAATGTAAAAACTCACCACTGCTATCATACGGCTCGTAGTCCATAGCCAGCTCGTAAACAGGAACTTCGAGCACAGAATAGAATAGAGCGTCGCCGGAAATATGTCAAATCAAATTGAACTAGAACCCGACGGGAAACAAAAGAACCAGAGGCGACGCCGTTTGGGAGTCCAAAATTAAGTGTTAGGGTTTTACAAGTGAGCAAATCAATCAATTGGGTGTGATTTCGGAAGGGAGAGTACGAGTTCGGGAACGCGGACGTGAAATAATTTTTTTCTATTGAGCTTAATGTTAGGATTTGAATTCCGTCTCATCTTTTTCGCTGTTTTCTTTTTTTCCCGTTTGATCATTTGTTTGTTGAATCGAATTTACCACGTGGGGAAAAGCACGTGGGGCTTGGGAGCTGATTAATGAATGTAACTAAAATAGCATGTTTGACCCAAGCTATTAAGAGAACCACGATAGGCTAGTTTGATTCCAAGCCAACTCTAAGGCTAGGCCAGTGCGACGGTTATTTTAGTACCCAAAATTTGAAAACCCGAATTTACTTTAAACTCTTATTATTATTATTAGTTTCTCTTTACATGTTGCACATATACGCTGAATCATATAGTATATAATTAGTGTAAATATAGATGTATTTGTTAAAAAAAAAATTTGCAATAAAACTTAATTGTTGACATATAGTGCCTGATTGATTGTCCGGAGGATGTAATTGAAGGTTAATACTTGGATATTACATTCACTTGAATTAAACTCATAAATTCTTCATAGTGCTTCTTGTGGAGACATAGTACATCTTGAAAATGTCAAATTTCATCAACGAACAGCTTCACAAATCAAAATAAAACATGAATTTTCGAGTAAAAAGTAATATATAGTTTATTTGTCAATTTCTTTTTGTAAAATGCAAAAAGAATATTATATGATCGAAAAAAATATACATTACGTTGAATTTGCTATGGTGAAAATGATGCTAGACAAAAGCATACAGATAAATTTTATTCAATTTCCTTCTAAAATTTTCTAGAGAGTCATTTATTAAGTCCACAACCTTTTGTTTCCAAGTGATGTGAGTGTCAATAGAAAAGGTCAAATTACAAATCTTATTTGAAAGAACGTACACGTGGAACATATCTGTAACGCCAGGCAGGTCGTTTTGAGCATTTGCACTTCCCTCGGTGGTTTGAGAGCATGAATAGCTCTGTATAATGTATTATGACTTGTGAGAATCGTCGGCTTTGCAATTATATACTAAGTCATACGCATTCATATGAATATCATATCTTAGTCTCTGTTACCATTTATTGATATATCATATTATTATTTTTGGGCTGATTTTCATGATATTGTGAGCCAAGAGACTGGAGAGATTGATGACTGAGTGAGGCCGAGGGCCTGATTGTGAAGATACTGATTGGATTGGGCTACATGTCGCAACATGTCTTATTAATTTATCTATGGGATCGGGCTGCACGTAGCAGCATATTTTTTTGATTATGCCATGATTGGCTTATTATGCTTGGGTTGAAGAAGCTCCTTATGGAGTCTGTACACACCCCTAGTGAGCGCAGGTACCTAATGAGTGTGAGTGCCGAGCGCGAGTGCCGAGTGATTGGGAGGATTGAGTGACTATGAGGACTAAGTGGCTGTGAGGGCTGAGTGACTGTGAGGATTAAGTGATTGGGAGGACTGAGTGCATTGATACATCGAGAGTATGCATATGATTTTATCACTGCATTATATTACAGTGGCATGCATACATTGACATGTACGAGATGCACTTTCCTCATGCCACTTGATAATGGAACATCTTACTTGTTGTGGGAAGTTTTTTGAAAACATCAAAGTTTTCAAACTTACTCATTTTTTTTTTTGCGATTTCGGTAAAAGATTTGGGTTTTCACTGATATGCTTGAAAAGCTGGCCTATTTTTCTGGAACTGTGAACGAGCTGAGCATTTTATCTTTGAGTTGCTTCTTTTATTACGTTATGAATTGTTGTTGGCTATTAGTATTGGACTCCGACCTTTGTTCCAGCTCGTCACTACATTCAACCTAAGATTAGATTTGTTACTTATTGAGTACATGGGGTCGGTTATACTTATACTACACTTCTGCACCTTGCGTGCAGATTTGGATGCTGACATTGTTGTGTATGATGGGATCTAGCATTAAAGGTGTACTTGCGTTTCAGTTATAGTTGTCTCTTGTTCATAGTAGCTCTAGACTTATGAAAAATCTATTTATGTATAATTCGGACAAATGATGTATTTATTTTACACTAGCTTTGTAAACTCTAAATCTTAAAAACTCATAATTTGTACTACCAGTCCTTGGAAAATTCTTATATAAAAGCAATTGTATTATCATTTCTTTTCTTGATAAATCTCATTAATTTGGATAGTTGTTAATTGGCCTACCTAGCGAGTTGGATTAGGTGCCATCACGTCTAGTTGGATTTTGGGTTGTGATAAGTTGGTATCAGAGTTATAGGTTCATAGGTTCTACAAGTCATGAGCAAGTGTCTAATAGAGTCTTGCGGATCGATATGATGATGTACATACCCATCTTCGAGAGGTTATAGGACATTTAGGATAAACTTCCCATCTTTATTTTCTTATTATGCAGTATTGATTCAGCTTGAAGCGTATCTCTTTGAATTCCTTCCATGCATTTGTATGCGTATGTAAGCGCTCAGTATCAGTTGTGCATCGACGGCTTGTGAATTCTATGGATGAGGTGCGAGATATGATTTCGCTGTGCTGATGATGGGCTAGTGTGGAGGACTTGAGGCCATGGTGTTGACGTAGTTGAGCACGGGAATTTCGGTTGAGTGAACACGTGGTTTTGGACTTATATATCTGGCAATATCCTTATTAATGGAATTTGTGGTTCGATAAGTGGTTGGATGACTATATGATGAGTATGATGTGACTGCGGGATGTGTTCAGATAGATTGAATGTGACGAGAAGAGTTTGCTTGAGATGTAAAAAGGACTATTGAGTGCTTGATTTCTGTCTTGATGTGACAAATAGTCTCGAGTTATGAGTGTATTGAAGGATCTTTCATGTTGCTTAATTGTGGAACGAATTAGATTCTCATGTCTTATTGATAAGTTCAGACTCAAAAAGATTAAGTGATTGCGTAGTAGTTGTGGCTGTGAAAGGGTATAAAGATATGTCAGTTTGAGGCTAAATAGGTGGGTTATGACCCGCAAGGTAATCCATGGATGTGTGATTTTTATGATGTGTGTGGAGGCTTTCTTTTCTACCAGTGGGTTGTACTTGTGCGATCTGAGTTTGGATCGGTTGTAATAGTTTACCTGACCGTCACGAGAATGAATGCGGGATTGCAGATGATTGGAGGTATTAGATGGTTTGTGTTGCCGGAGCTTGTGAAAAATTTAGCTGAATCTCACTACGGGATTATGGTCGTAATAGAGTAGGGGTATTGTGAGTTATAAAAAATTTTATTCCATGGCGTTGAGCTAAGTGGGGAGTATACTATCGACGAGTTGATTGCACGATTATGTGTTGTATTGGTTTTGTTTTGAGGTGTACTCGTAAAACGGTTATGACTTGAAGAGGTTGAGATCGAGGATGACTCGAGTAAGGGAATTTCTGGATATGGGTTGTATTATACTCTATGAGTATATGAGAATCATGAAATGATTGAGTGGTTATTCATGAAGGATGTAGGGTGCATAGAGTAGGAATTTGCTTGGTTGCATTAAGGTGGGGTTACTTTTTTGGGTGTCATCGTGCTAATGGGACACAGGTCGTTTTGACTGTTTAGGCAGTGCAATTGAGATGTGAGCAGGGTAGATAACTCTCGAAAAGGTTCTAATGGGTTCAAGATTTATATGCAGCAATTGTGAGATTTCCGATTTGTTTACGGCTAGAACCTAAGATTTATATTGGATAATGTCGAGACTCACAGTATTTCTATATCATTATGGATTCTATGTTTTAGTATCAGAAAGGTGAAGGAAACAACTTTATATTGACAGAAGGTCTCTTCAGAGAGAGTGTCTTGGTTGTGTGATTTTTGGGGTGCTCAAGAGGGAATACATTGGCTTATGGGCCTTAGGGCGGTGTGGTTTTATGCTAGGATCCCTTGTGGTGAACTTTGGGTGAGGATCATGGTATTCTAGCAAGGAGAAGTGTCAGCTTGAGGGAAATTAGGAAGGAACTCGGGTAAAAGGACAGCTTAGTAGTAGGTGGGATCAGTACAGTAACAAAATATGATCGGTCCTTTAGGTACTTATGAAGTGGTGAGTCTCTACAGGTGTTTTGTGGCAATACCCTTAGGTTGGTTACTTGCGTGGCTTAGTTGAGTTAGAGAGATTTGGTTCTGATGGCTTAATTACGTGTTAATGGCTTTCGGAGTGTTCTCAATAATTTCTACCACGGTTTGAGGTGTATATTTCCTGTTGGCATGAGGAGCATGTTGCATGCTGTGATTTTCTCCTGGATGAGATCAAATGGAAGGTTCCTAGTTAATTGAGTATGTAGTTTGCTTGTGACTTAGATTTGATTATTTTCGTACTTTTCCTAGGATGGCATGATAGATGTGGTGTGTTGTGTGGGATTAAGATTTGCATGTGCAAGGTCAAGGGTCAGTTTTGAAGGGAAGATCATAAATTTGTATGCAGCACAAATGAATTCGGATGTGGGCACTGATTGGTATTACTTTAGTAGAGTGTACATTTCAGAACACACATTGTGTTTTGACTTACGGATGCTTCATTGGTGTTGCGATGCTCGCTTGGTTGACTGACTACTGATATTCAGATTTTGCTATGTGGCACAGAAGAATTATAGAAGTATTCCTCGGGGGATGATTATGTATGAGATATGTGTTAGATATTCGGGTAGTGGACTTGAGATCGGATATGTTGATTCGTATGTTATATGGATTTGGAGATCGGGAGTTCTAGAAAGTAGATTGTTTCGTAGTTGTGGACTATGGAGATGTGGCCAAAGCTAGCCAGATGATAGTATGTGTTATGGTTCACTCATTGTGGACTTTCGGAGGGTTATGTATCTATTTGTAGATGACCAAGATTGATCTGGGGGCCATTGGTAGGCCCAATGAGGATGCGTATTCTACACCGGGTTGGATGGGTTGACTCCGTACTACTATTGTTGAGGGATGTTCCATTTGGTTGGAGTTAAGCTTATTCGTGTTCTGATATGTTCTATGAGTTACCCTTCTATGTTACGAGGGGTTGTGATTCGTTGGTTATATGCACATATGGTGCGGTTCTATTAGGGCCTTATATTGGAATTTGAGCGAGATGGGTATTTGGGTGTTGCATGATTGATTG